GCTTGAAGAACATCATTTCAAGATGTGTAGGGGTGGCAACATCTATGTGCTGGGCATGAACACTTTTAGAGAAGCACACAGCAACACCACCTCCTTGCCCTTGCCTGTCTTTTCTCATCCATGAGGTGTAGCCAGCAATTCTTGCAAAATTTTCTGGAGTCCTGTCATCCAAAAATGTTTCAACAAACAGCTATCATGTCTGGACGTCGAGTGTTCACAAAGCTATGTGTGAGCTCTCCAACATTAGTAATGAAACCTCTAATGTTGGCCGACAGGATGCTGATAGACTGGTCCTCATGATGAAGTGGTCAGCTTGAGGTGGTGGGTGTGTAGGGAATGTAAGGTGCCTGCCCTTGAGAGAGGTAGGGTACTGAGGCAGCTGCAGGGATGTAGGTCTGTGGTCTTGTATAAGGCCCAATCCCACCTGCTGGGCTGGGATAGGAGTAGCTAAGTGGGTGACGTGTGAGAGTGTTTACCAATTCAGAGATCCTGCTGGTTTGTTCTGAGAACAGGTCTCTAAACAGGTGGCCCTGTCTGTCAAGTTCCTTTTTCTTCCGACACTGGTCCTCCTTATGTCCTTTCTTGTAGCAGTAGTTACACCTGGTATCTCGCAGGCAGTTGTTGGCAGAGTGCCCCTTCCGGTGACAACGAGAGCACAGCCTAGGTGCCTGGGAGGGTGGACTAGGATTTGTTGCACCTCCTGTGTTTCGCAGATTTGTCCTCAGATTCTGCCGCTGGAACTGTGTTAGTGGAGGGTGAGACGGCTGTGAATGTCTTCCTCCACCACGTCCTCCTCCACGTCCTCTACCCCGCCCTCTACCAGTTCTGACAGATGTGTCCCTGCTGTTCGTACTTCGGCGCAGTAGGTGATCAGGTGCAGTGATAGTTCCCTGATCACTAACTGCACCGTTCTCTGGTGGAGAAACTCCTGGCTCAGAACTTGCTGTCGAAGCACTACTACCAGATTCTAGAATAGTATCGGCAGGTGTGCTGACAGGTGTAGGATCAGAGATGGTATGTGCACTGTCAAGTAGACTGGCAGTGGCTGAAGCAGAGATGTGTGTGTGTGTGTGTGTGTGTGTGTGTGTGTGTGTGTGTGTCTGTGTGTGTGTCTGTGTGTGTGTCTGTGTGTGTGTCTGTGTGTGTGTCTGTGTGTGTGTGTGTGTGTGTGTGTGTGTGTGTGTGTGTGTGTGTGTGTGTGTGTGTGTGTGTGTCTGTCTGTGTGTGTGTGTGTGTGTGTGTGTGTGTGTGTGTGTGTGTGTGTGTGTGTGTGTCTGTGTGTCTGTGTGTCTGTGTCTGTGTCTGTGTCTGTGTCTGTGTCTCTCTCTCTCTCTCTCTCTCTCTCTCTCTCTCTCTCTCTCTCTCTCTCTCTCGCTCTCGCTCTCGCTCTCGCTCTCGCTCTCGCTCTCGCTCTCGCTCTCTCTCGCTCTCGCGCGCGCGCACTACCACTTCTGCAACAATTATCAAAACAGATTAGTTGGTTAGAGATAGAAGTCTTTCACCTAAATATTTTTTTTTTTTTTTTGGCCTTTAATGCAGCACATTGTTTTTCCCACATCCACTGTTTTTCTAATAATTTTTTGTAATATATTGTCTATCACATTTGTTAGCAAGACTGGTCAGTACTTGCAAAGGATTGTCTCCATTATCCTTATATAATCTGTCTTCAGTATTTTTTGTTCATCTACTAGTTCACTCTCTTTCACTGAGGTTTTAAAGGTAATTAAAAAATTTGTAAAGAATTTTTTTTTTCGCATAAATACACACTGAAATTTCTTATGTAGAATGCCCCACATGAGCTCTTCTAAACTATTTTCTCATCACTATTACTGTTTGAAAAGTGAGAGTGAGAACCATATATGTACAGTACATGTTACATATTTACTTATGTAATAGGATTAAAGTATAGCAGTTGATATCATGAACTCTGGCAGTAAGTCCAGACTCTCGGACCATTATACATTTTACAATCTGCAGCTTTCCCCAATTATTGTCTTCCTCTAGGATTTGCTCAGATTTTATTCAGGGATATTTCATCCAAGTTCTGAGTGTAATGTTAGACACTGAGACTGCTGTTTATGCAGAAACAAACATGCAGAGAAATTAGGACAAGCAGTATTTACTTTTTTTTTTTTTTTAATCTGCTATGCTTGAAAGAAGTATAGAAACTTTGTTGATACAATAATCTTTTACCTGATATTTAATATTTTTTTCAGGTCAGTGAACAATACAAAGGTTACAGTTTATGTAGCAAAGAAAACAGTTAGTGAGGTGTAATAGCAGGTGACTTGTCCAGTGCCAGTGACTGGACTCTTCAGATCATGGGCCTATTGTGTAGTCTCATGTTTTTCCAGTTTTTTTTTTTTAATAATAGGCTTTATTTGTTTTAAAATTTTGTTACACTTTTGTATCTGTATATGCAGAAATGTCTTCTCTTATGTTATTTTGTACATTTCAGTTTGCAACAAGACTGTATACGTATCCCTTACCTAGTGTAGGAGAACCTAAAGCACTGATGAAGGAACTGATCAGAATGACTCGACCAATACTTCCACAACTCTGTCTTCTTGCTGGATTCCAAGTATGTGATATTATGAGAATTACATTGATTCATCTTGTAATTTATTTGATGTTTTGGTATAAACTGCTTACAATATTTTGAATTACCATATATTTTTTTCTTGGAAGCCTGTCAGTTTATGTAAAAAGGATGTTCTAAAAAAACAAAATCTGTATACAGTGGACCCTCAGCTAATGATATTAATCCGTTCCTGAAAGCTCATCGTTAGCTGAAATTATCGTTAGCTGAATTAATTTTCCCCATAAGGAATAATGGAAATCAAATTAATCTATGCAAGACACCCCAAAGTATGAAATTTTTTTTTTTTTTACCACATGAAATATTAATTTTAATACACACAAACTGGCTCTCACCTTTATTGAAGATCTGGTGATGATTGATGGGATGGGAGGAGGGGAGAGTGTGGAAGTTGTTAATGTTTAGAAGGGGAATCCCCTTCCATTAGGACTTGAGGTATCAAGTCCTTTTCCGGGGTTACTTCCCTTCTTTTAATGCCACTAGGACCAGCTTGAGAGTCACTGGACCTCTGTCGCACAAAAATCTGTCTATAGAGGTCTGTACCTCCCATTCCTTTAAGATTTGCCTAAAATGGGCCACAACATTGTCATTGTAATAGTAACCAGCACGGCTTGCAATAACTGTGTTAGGGTGATTTTCATCCATAAAGGTTTGCAGTTCAACCCATTTGCACACATTTCCTTAATCTTTGAAGTAGGCACAATGGATTCCACAACTGGCATAGGCATCTCAGGGCTAGCCCCAAACCCTTCAAAATCTTTCTTAATTTCCATACTAATTCTCACCCTTTTTATCACAGGGTTGGCACTAGAAGCTTTCTTGGAGCCCATGGTGACTTACTTTGCAGGTACAATCACTAAAAATGCTGTGATAATATGAAATGTTCTGATTGTATGCGTGGATGCGACCACACTAACTGGCTTGTAAACACTGGCACCCATGGGACAACTGAGGCGCGCTCAGGCCACACGTGGACGCATCTCGAACGAATCGCGCTGGGTGAGTTTTTTAGCGTTAGCTGAGGCAAAATTTTTGCATTAAAATGTATCGTTAGCTGGATTTAACGTTAGCTGATGCCATCATTAGCTGAGGGTCCACTGTATAATTCATGTGTTCACCAGGGAGATTTTTAAAGTAACATTGACCCTGGTGGTTAATCATTTAGTTTTGATTATAATAATAATTTTTTTTTCAGGGCCACCCTGCCTTGGTGGGAAATGGCCGATGTGTTAAAAAACAAAGAATAATAATAATAATAATAATTTAAGTAGCAGTAAGAGTCATAGCAAGCAATATACTGTATGGGAAAGGAACACTATTTTTATTGTATAATAATAATCCAAACTGTATTGATATTAATAATGTGTTGGTGAGGATGACAAATAAAATGTGTATAAAAATGAATAGAACTATGTCTAAACTCTCCTGGGAGATATAGCAGTGTGTCATGACAATATTCAATTCCATTTTCAGTAGAGAATATTTTGTTTTATTTAAGATTATACCAGTGAGCTAAAAAAGCTACACCATAGTCTGATGAAGACAGTAAATATAAATGTGCAGTATATAGAATGAGCAGAATCATCCTGGGTCCATCTCAGTGTTAAACAGGTTGGCATAATGCCCCATTGCATGAAAAACTATGTTCTGTAACAGAATAAAAGATATCACCTAAATTGACCCATACATATGAGCATGTAAATGTGGTTCATTTCACAACTATAGCTTCATTGTAAGGGGATTTATAATTTATTACTTTGCCTCTTGAGGACTACTTGAAACACACGTAAAATGGCAATCCTACATTTATAAGCAGTTTAATAACTGAAGTAACCAAACAAGTAATGACAGTTGTATGAGCACATTTCTGTACTGTATAATAATACTAATAATAATACTAATAATAATACATTTCATCTATCTGTATGACTAGGCTTCAGAGATTGCAAAATCTCCATGTGTTATATGACAAAGTAATTTACTCGTATATATTATTAATTGATGAGGGGAAAAGGGTGAGTGGTGCACTTAGGAGTCTGTGGAGACAAAGAACTTTGTCCTTGGAGGCAAAGAGGGGAATGTATGAGAGTATAGTTTTACCAATGCTCTTATATGGGTGTGAAGCATGGGTGATGAATGTTGCAGCGAGGAGAAGGCTGGAGGCAGTGGAGATGTCATGTCTGAGGGCAATGTGTGGTGTGAATATAATGCAGAGAATTCGTAGTTTGGAAGTTAGGAGGAGGTGCGGGATTACCAAAACTGTTGTCCAGAGGGCTGAGGAGGGGTTGTTGAAGTGGTTCGGACATGTAGAGAGAATGGAGCGAAACAGAGTGACTTCAAGAGTGTATCAGTCTGTAGTGGAAGGAAGGCGGGGTAGGGGTCGGCCTAGGAAAGGTTGGAGGGAGGGAGTAAAGGAGGTTTTGTGTGCGAGGGGCTTGGACTTCCAGCAGGCATGCGTGAGCGTGTTTGATAGGAGTGAATGGAGACAAATGGTTTTTAATACTTGACGTGCTGTTGGAGTGTGAGCAAAGTAACATTTATGAAGGGATTCAGGGAAACCGGCAGGCCGGACTTGAGTCCTGGAGATGGGAAGTACAGTGCCTGCACTCTGAAGGAGGGGTGTTAATGTTGCAGTTTAAAAACTGTAGTGTAAAGCACCCTTCTGGCAAGACAGTGATGGAGTGAATGATGGTGAAAGTTTTTCTTTTTCGGGCCACCCTGCCTTGGTGGGAATCGGCCAGTGTGATAATAAAAATAAAAAAATATTATTATACAGCCTCTCCTCAGTTAGTGATGCACTCATTTACTGATGACTCAGACTTACGACGGGCTCTCTGACTATTATGCATGCCTAAATAATGTATATTAGAGCTGATTTCCTCTATTATGTTTATTGCAATATATAGTACACTGCTGTATAAACATTCAAAAATACATATACCAGAAATGTTATAAATGGTGCAAAGGTGACATTAAAACAATATCAGAAATGGCTGACACAAACCCACTACAATTTATAGTATGCTCCTTGCTTAGCGACGAGTTTGTTTACTGACGTGGTCTTAGGAACGGAACTCCATCGTTAAGTGAGGAGAGGCTGCACTCTACTTCTATTTTACATGCTTTGGCTTAGTGTAACAACAAATTAGCACCCAAGGAAGCCATACTCACAGTCAGGGGTGGAATGGCCCTCACAGGCCACAGTTTTAAAGGTTTTAGCATGCCGTTATGGTACACGTATTATGCAAAGATAAAATACGTGCAGTAGACTGTCAGTCAGGATGCCATCATTCAGGATATTTTTGTTATAAAATGATTGAAGAATTGCAGGTTGAAGAAACAGTGATGAGACGGCAGATTACAAATTTCATGGTCCAGCACAACCAGAATAACCCGAATTAGCTTGGTTTTAAAGCAGGACAATCATGCCTGTTGCTGCTGAACCATTATGACAGAATTATGGAGGCATTGGAAGACAACCAACACGCAGATATGATTTTCACAGATTTTGCAAAGGCGTTTGACAAATGCGATCATGGAGTGATAGTGCACAAAATGAGGACCATGGGCATTACGGGGAAGGTAGGCAGATGGATTTTCAGGTTCCTAACACATAGAACACAAAAAGCAGAAGTGAACAGAGCAAGATCCAACATCAGCAAGGTCAAAAGCTCAGTGCCCCAAGGCACTGTCCTGGCACCTCTGCTGTTTCTCATCCTCATAGCAGACATAGATAAAAACACCGATCACACTTTTGTATGATCATTTTCATATGACACTAAAATAAGCATGGAAGTCACTATGTTAGAGGACATTGAAAAATAACAGGAAGACATAAGAACATAAGAACATAAGAATGGAGGAACACTGCAGAAGGCCTTCTGGCCCATACAAGGCAGGTCCTTATCAAAACGACCTCTACCCAAAGCTACCCAAGAATTAACTCCCGTACCCAATGACACTAATCAAACCCAGCCCCTCCCACTCATATATTTGTCCAATCTCTTCTTAAAGCTGCCCAAGGTCCTAGCCTCTTATCACCCCACTGGGAAGACTGTTCCATGCATCCACAACTCTGTTAGAAAACCAGTACTTACCTATGTCCTTTCTAAATCTAAATTTATCCAACTTAAATCCATTATTTTGGTTCTTACCTGGTTCGACACCCTCAATACCTTATTAATATCTCCTTTGTTTATGCCCGTCATCCACTTATACACCTCAATGATATCTCCTCTTATTCTACGTCTCTCCAGAGAGTGAAGATTTAAGACTTTAAGTCTATAAGAACATAAGAACATAAGCAGGGTTTTTCAGTGGGCAGTGGAGAACAACATGATGTTCAGTGGTGATAAGTTCCAGCTGCTTAGGTATGGAAAGAATGAAGAACGCAACAGGAACACTATATGCAAAACTCAAGAAGGTCACTAAATAGAGCGAATAATTATGTCAGTTGACCTTTCTTTTAAAGACCATAACAAGACAAAGATCACGACAGCCAGGAAAATGACAGGGTGGGTATTGAGAACTTTCAAAACGAGGGAAATATTGCTGATGGTGACACTCTTCAAATCACTAGTGCTCCCTCACTTTGAATATTACTCAGTGCTGATGGCCCGGTTCAAAGCAGGAGAAATATTAGAGCTGGAACAAATACAGAGATCGTTTATGGCTCACATTGAGCCAGCAAAGTGCCTAAATTACTGGGAACGCCTTCAATTCTTTAACATGTGCTTGCTGGAGCGTAGGAATGAGAGATATATTGATAATACATACCTGGAAAGCACTCGAGGGTGTGGTCCCAAATCTGCACACTGCCATAACGACATACTGGAGTGAGAGATATGGGAGGAAATGTAAAATAAACCTAGTGAGGAACAGGGGTGTGGTGGGGGACAATAAGGGAACACTGTATCAACATCTGGGGTCCCAGACATCCCAACATATATATCCCAACATCTTACCAGAAGATATCAGAAACA